TAAGCAAAAGGTCCGGATTCGTAAGTGCTGGCATCACTGACATAGAGGATGAGGCCCCTCCTGGAAGAGAGAGACAGGCATCTGAAATAACCCAGATGTGGTCCTAACAGCATGGGGTTGGAGGCCGCAGACAGCTCAGATCCAAGAAGACTGTGAAGTTGCTGCAAGCGTCTGAGAACCCATGTCGACCATGTTTTTACATATATGTACGATTTTAAAAATGTTTATAGACATTACTGAAATAAATTGCAAAAACATATCCTAGGTGTGAAAAAATTCAGATTAGCTAAGGAACACTGTATATTTTCTCATTTAATGGAGATTTAGACACAACACTTGGGTCTTCACAATAATTAGACATTAAAAAGGGATCCCTGTCTGCTAGGACATATGCTAGAAGTAGCCTGACGTAGGGAAATTCAAACCCTCTGGCATTTCAGAAAATAAACAATAAATGTCATTAAACTCGTATCTAAAGAAAATTACGCTGAAGTTCTCAATGATTAAATTTCTCCTTTTATAAATCAAGAAAGGAAATACTGCAGAATTCAACCTCAGATCTTTTACTAGAGGAACCTTATTTGCTGTGTACAGGGTTCTCTAAAGAATGTAGGCCGGTCACTAGCGAGGAGACCCAAACAACACCAAGACCCAAGGGCTGCTCGACTAAACGTTGACCGTCTTGGCCGGCTTCACATCCTCGATTTCGGCAGACAGCCAGCGGTATGTGCGGTGACGCCGCAGCACCTCGATGGCCTTGAGCTCCAGTGGGGTTGCCTGAACGCCAAGGTCTTCTAAGCCGGGCAGGTGAGGCAATGTCTTGTCTGGGATGTGAATCTTTGAGAGAACAGAGACCACAGAGAAGGCTGAAAACTGGCCACCAACTCCAAGTGCCAACACAGCCAACATCTAAACACTCGAGCTGGCCTGAGTCCCATTGCAGTTACTTAGCTCCTTCCAAGAGCACGTGGCAATTTTTGTTTCATGCAACTATCTAAAAGTAGAACACAGAAAGAGGGCTTAAGAGGGGAGGAAAAGGCAAGATCACCAAATATCAGCTCAATGTCCCCAGTAGTAGCCATGAGCACGAGGCATTGGCACTAGATGAGCCAATCTACCCACAGATTTAAAAAGGCGTAAATCCAGAGCGGGAAGCCCAAGTCTTCAAATCAAATCCACCTATCTGTGGGCCTACTGACCCAGCTTATGGCCAGCAATGGTGTTTTCAAAACAACCAAATAAAATACCTTATAAAGGTATTTAGGGAGGCTTACTAGGAAGGTGCAGGAATAAAACTGGGACTAAAGCATAGACTGACTCAGCTTTGACTTCTGAAATTAAGAGATAAGGTCGAATCTGTTCCTTATCCATTGAAAAACAGTCCAATAGCCTTTTTGCTCCAAGTACACTCAATTGGTAGACTCATGCTCATCACACAGCTAGAAAACCAACTGTTCCTAAGGACTCTTTGCTCGTCTCCACTACAGTTTAGCTTCTAGGCCACGTTCAGAGGACAACTTGGCTTCTCTTGCCAATATACAGTCCATAGGTATTCAAAGGTAGAGATGGAATACAGTATTTGGTATAGGATCATTTTTTTACATTTTCGTATTACTTGGCATTCTCCCTAGAAGCACCAGCACACGCATGAGATGAGGTCTGAGAGGTAACACTGGATTTGGTGACAAGGAGATCAGGGGTGACCTTTGATGGGGGGAGAGATGGGAATAAAAGCTTGATTGACGTAGTTAAAGAAAAGATGAAGAAACTGTCAATGGCAGGGATCGACAGCTCTTTTGAGGAGTTAGGATGTGAAGGAACACAAACAGGAAAGTGCCCGGAAGAGACACACATGAGGGAGGACTTAGTTTTACTTTAAAAAGGCATGGGGAGACACCAGGCATGCTTTTGTGCTGATGGGAAGAATCCAGTGGGGAAAACACTGATAATGTCAGGCAGAAGGCGAAGCCAGGAGCAGGATGAGAGCGGGTGAGTGTCAGTGCCTGGTCGAGGGGTTGACCTCCCTGCAGAAACAGCAGACAAGAGCGTGGGAATAATCCAAGCAAGCGAACAGAAATAGATCCTAACTTTCCCTGCAGCTCTCTGCCAGCACCTACCCTGGCGGATGTTTACCACACGCCTTACCTGCTCCACTTTATCCCTCGTTGTCCAGGGCTCAAACGGGCTAATTTCAAACAGTCTTGCTACCAACCTGGAGAAAGGAATATACAGCACATGTGATAGGCGTCTCCCTGTCCAATAATAAGCCAACCTATAAGGAAGAAAGGCTGCTGTAGAGGCAGAAACTCACTGAATTTTTTTTTTAATTTAGAAAATATAGTTTATGTAAAATGTAAATTAGAGAAAGAGATTCACCCTCTCAAGACAGTGGAGGTGGCCAAGGCAAGGAAACATGGTGACCATGGCTTAGTGAAGTAATGGTTGAATTATTATTTTTTTAAATTGTAAGACGTGGGGTACAATTCAGGGTTAGGTATACAAACGATGATTATGCAGGTACCCTTGTTGATGAGGTATGCCCCTCCCTCCACTAGCAGTTTCCCACAACTGCCAATCCCACCTCACCTCCCCTGACAGTTTCCCACTACTGCCAATCTCTTTCTTATAGTATTATAATAATTATTAAGAACCACTAATGAGTGAATACATATGGTACTCTGTTCTTTGTTTCTGTGACTGATCAGTGAGTATGATCAACTCTAAATCCATCCAAGTTGCTGCGAAGTTCATGTTTGTCCTTCTTTATGGCTGCATAATATTCCATTGTGTATATGTACCACATTTCTTTATCCAGTCCGGCATCAACGGGCAACATGGTTGGTTCCATGTTTTTGCTGTTGTGAACAGAGCTGCAACAAACATATGTTTGTAGGTATCTCTTTTTTTTTTTTGAGTTGGAGTCTCACTGTCGCCCAGACTGGAGTGCAGTGGCCGCTCCTGGCCACCACAGCCTTGACCTGCCGGGCTCCGGCGATCCTTCCGCCTCAGCCTTCCGAGTAGCCGGAATTACGGGCGCGTGCTACCACGCCCGGCTGATTTTTTGATTTTATTGTAGAGATGAGGTCTCGCTGCCCAGGCGGGTCTCGAACCCGTGGGCTCAGGCTATCCACTCACCTCAGCCTCCCAAAGGCGCGGGATTACAGGCTGAGCCACCGAGTCCGGCTTAGGTATCTTTTTTGTAGAATGCTTTGAGATTCTCGATGTATATTCCCAATAGGGGAAATGCTGGGTCATATGGAAAGTCAACTTCTAGTTTTTTCAGACATTGCCGCACTGTCTTCCAAAGAGGTTGCACTAGTTTGCATTCCCATCAGCAGTGAAGAAGCGTTCCTTTTTCTCCGCATCCTCACCAGCATCTGTTGTTATTTGCTTTATTAATGATGGCCATTCTTACTGGGGTTAGGTGGTATCTCAATGTGGTTTTGATTTGCATTTCTCTGATGATTAGTGAGGCTGGGCACTTTATCATGTGTCTGTAGGCTGCCCGTATATCTTCTTTTGAGAAGTGTCTATTCATGTCTTTTGTCCACTTTTTAAAGGGGCTTCTTGTTGGAGGCTTTGTCAAAGATGAGTTGGTTGAGGAATTGAGGCTTTGCTTCAGGAATCTCTATCCTGTTCCATTGGTCTATGTGCCTGTTCTTGTATCAATACCAGGCTGTTTTGATTACCGTAGCCTTATAGTAAAGTTTGAAGTCTGGAAATGTGATACTTCCTGTTTTGTGTCTTATGTTAAGGATTGTTTTGGCTATTCGTGGTTGTTTATGTTTCCATATGAATTTCTGTATTATAATTTCCAAGTCTGAGAAGATGACATTGGTAACTTAATGGGTATTGCGTTGAATTTGTAGATTGCCTTTGGTAGGACAGACATCTTAACAATGTTGATTCTTCCTATTTATGAGCATAAGCAAATTGTTCCATTTGTTTGTGTCTTCTTGGATTTCTTTGAGCTGCGTTTTGTAGTTCTCATTGTAAAGGTCTTTCACTTCTCTGGTTAGGAAGATGTCGAGGTAGTTCACTTTTTTGGTGGCTACTGTGAATGAGATTGTGCTTGTAATTTGGGTCTCTGCCTGCTTATTGTTGGTGTATAGGAATACAACTGTCTTTTGCACATTTATTTTGTACCCTGAGACTTTGCCGAAGTCCTTTATCAGTGCAAGCAGGTTTTTGACAGATTCTCTTGGATTTTAAGGTATAGGATCATCTCATCAGCCAAGAGGGATAATATGACTTCCTCTTTTCCTATCTGGATTCCCCTGATTTCCTTCTCTTGTCTAATTGCCCGAGCTAGGACTTCCAACACAATACTGAATAAGAGGGGTGAGAGTAGGCAGACTTGTCTTGTTCCAGTTTTCAGGGGAAATGTTCTCAGCTTCTGTCCATTTAGCCATATGTTAGCTGGGCGTTTATTGTAGATGGCACTTACTATTTCGATGTATGTTCCTTCTATACCTAGGTGTTTGAAGGTTTTTATCAAGGAGGGATGCTGGATTTTATCAAAAGCTTTTTCTGCATCTAATGAGATAATCATGTGGTTCTTGTTTTTATATCTGCTGATGTTTTTAATTACATTTATGGTCTTGTGAATGTTGAACCAGCCCTGCTTTCTGGAGATGAAGCCTACTTGGTCACTGTGGATGATTTTTGAGATTTGTTTTTGTGATCCGATTTGCCAGAATCTTGTTGAGGATTTTTGCATCTATGTTTTCAAGGGATATTGGCCTATAGTTCTCTTTTTTTGTTGAGTCTTTACCCAGTTTGGGTATCAGTGTGATGTTAGCTTTGTAAAATAATTTGGGGAGAATTCCATCTTTCTCAATTGCCTGAAATACTTTCAATTGGATCAGTATCAGCTCCTCCTTGTATGTTTTGTAGAATTCTGCAGGAAAGTAATCCGGTCCAGAGCTTTTTTTGTAGACAGTTTTCATAAGACAGAGTCAATTTCCTGAGTTGGTCTAGTTAGTGTCTCAATGTCTTCTTGTTTCAATCTGAGGTGGCGGTGTGATGTCAGAAAATCCTCCATTTCATTTAGGTGATCAAGTTTGTTTCCATATAGGTGTACATAGTAATCTCTAATAATCTTATGTATTTCTTTGGGGTCAGTTGTGATTTGATATTTTGTATTTCTGATTGTGTTTATTTGGGCTTTTTCTCTCTTTTTCTTGGTCATCCTGGCTAGGGGTCTATCAATCTTGTTAATTCTTTCAAAGAACCTACTTTTGGTTTTCTATGATATTTTTGTCTTCTATGTCCTGTATTTGGGTCCATATTTTGGTGATTTAGATTCTTCTGCTAAAGTTGGGATTTTGGTGGTCATCTCTTTTCACCTCCCTTTGGTGATTTGTTAGGTTGTTCACTTGTGATCTTTCCGTTTTCTTGATGTGAGCTCATAGAGTTATAAATTCCCCTCTTAGAACTGTCTCATGGCATCACAGAGATTTTGGTAAGATGTTTCTTCATTTTCATTTGTTTCTAGGAATCTTTTAGTTTCTGCTTTGATTTCAGTGTTGATCCAGTAGTTGTTTCAGCATCATGCAGTTTGGTGTCCATATCTTTGTGGGCTTTGGGGAAATTTTGTTGGTGTTGACATTTATTTTTATTCCACTGTGGTCTGAGAATGTGCATGGCAAGATTTAAACCTTATGGAATTTGTTTATGCTTGATTTATGGCCAAGGATGTGATTGATCTTGGGGTACGTTCCATGCGGTGATGAGTAGAATGTATATTCTGTAGTTGTTGGGTGGAATAATCTATAGGTATCTATTAAGTCCATTTGTTTGAATGTCAAGTTTAGGTTCTGGATCTCCTTATTGATACTTTACCTTGATGATCTATCTGGAGCTGTTAGTAGGGTATTCAAGTCCCCTGCTATAATATTGTTAAAGTCAATATCTTTTTTTAGTTTACTTAGTAGTTGCTTTATAAATTCTGACGCTCCTGTGTTGGGTGCATATATGTTTAGGATGGATATTTCTGGTTGATGAATTCAACTTTTTAATATTATGTAGTGTCCTTTTGCATCTTTTTAAATTTTTGATAGCTTAAAGGTTGTTTTGTCTGTTATTAAGATCACAACTCCTGCCTTCTTTTGTGATACATTTGTCTGGAAACTCGTTTTCCATCCTTTAACGTTGAGTCTGTTTGTGTCCCTTCTAGTGAGATGAGTCTCCTAGATGCAGCAAATAAATGGGTCATGGTTTCTTATCCAGTTCACCATTCTGTATCTTTTCAGTGGTGCATTTAGTCCATTCACATTCAGGTTGACTATTGAAATGTGATTGTTTATCGCTGTCATGAGGTTCTTACAAAGTTTTTTCTTTGCTTGCTTTCTTTTAGCTTTGTGGTTAATGTATGTGTGTGTTTTCAAGTTTCTTGTTGCGTTGTGTTCTCTGTTGATTCTGTGCTCTGCTGTTCTCTTGGAAAGTATGTGGTCATTTTTTTTTCTTTCTTCTGTACTTAATATCTTTTTAAGTGTCTCCTGTAGAGTTGGTCTGGAAGCTGCATAATCTCTTAGGGATTGGATGTCTGGGAAGGATTTTAATCTCCATCACTGATGAAGCTGAGCTTGGCTGGATAGGAAATTCTTGACTGAAATTGTTTATCTTTGAGGACTTTGAATATAGGGCTCCAGTCCCTTCTTGTTTATGGTGTTTCTGCTGATAGATCTGCTGCTATTCTAATTGGTTTTCCCTAATAGGTAATCTGATCCTTCTTTCTTGTTGCCTGTAGGATTTTTTCTTTTGTGCCTACTTTGTGTGGGTGAATTACTATGTGTCTAAGGGTTGGTCTTCTCTTTTGATGTCTTGTGGGGGTTCCCTGTATCTCTTATGCTTGGCTGGTCACATCTCTGGTGAGATGGGGAAAGTTTTCTTGGATTACCTCCTGGAATACTTGCTCCAAAGTTTTTCTCTATTTCTTTTCTTCTTCTGGGATACCAGTCAGGCATAGGTTCGGCCTCTTGATATAATCGTACATCTCTTGCAGGATTTGTTCTTTCTTTCTGAGTCTTCTTTCTATGTTTTTTACAGATTGGGTTAATTCCATGTTCTGGTCTTCAAGTTCTGAGATTCTTTCTTCAGCTAATTAATTCTGCTTTCCAGGTTTCACATCTTGTTATTTATTTCCTGGATGACATTTTCTGTTGCCAAAAATCTCTGCTACAGGTTCTTTCAGTGTTACGTCTTGTCTTTCTTGAGTCTTATTTACTCTTCCCATTCATTCCCTAATCCCTGTTTTATTCTGAGGCAAGTCGTTGGTGACTTCCATTGTTTGGGCCCCAAGGTCTGATATTTCAGGAGTTTTGTCTTTGGTACATTTGAAATTGCCTGTGGTCTTCCTTTGGGTTTTCCTCATTTGTGACATATCTCGTTTTTTTCTTTATTTCTGTAATTCAGTGTCAGTGGGAGAGGCTTTCCCTTCTGATGTTTGTTCAGTCCTCTATTCTTCCCTGATCCAGGCTCTGGATTTGTTCTATTTTGAAATAGAATGGTGGATGGGAAGCTTTTCCGTCTCCTGTAGTTTTGAAATTCGAATAAAGTAGGGGATAGAGTGCTAGGATTATACTCTTTGCAAATTACAATGTTCACGTATTGTGGTATGTGTTCCCTGAGACCTACTCTCCATTACTACTCTATATGATGATACAAAGCAGAAACCAGTGGAAAAAACAATTGAACAAACACAGACACATACCCTCCAAAACAAACTGGAATAACAGCAAAGTATAACAAAAACAACAACAACAAACAAGAAAACTAAACAGATACACACATGCCTAGCACAAAGTGAATGGCGAAGAAAAACAGAAAGACCGGAAAGAAAAAAAAAAAGGAATTCAGATAGAATCCTCACACATATATTGACACACATCTTAAATTATAAACAATGAAAATAAAAAATCCAGAAGAATGAAAAGAGCAAAAACAAATAACAACAACAAAATTGAAAGATGAATGCTCAATCATTTATACACACACATAAACAGAAAATGGCAAATGAAAGAAACAGAAGGAAGAAAAAAAAAATTGGGGGAGATGCAGATCAAAGCCTCATATACACATTCATGCACAAAGGAACAATATTTTAAAAATAGATGAACTAACAAACAATTTTTAAAAATTAAAAAAATTTTTTTGAAAAACCTGCCCTCTTGTGGCAGGCTCTGTTATTGTTCCTCTAATCGGGTCTCTCCTGCAGAGCCACCTCTTTCACTCTCTCCTTGGTGTCCAGAGCAGGGAAGGAGGAGGGGCAGTGGAGGTGGGTGGGGCTGTAGTCCTCCCCTCCCACTCTCGTATGGTCAGGGAGAGCTCTTCCCGTGGGGAATGCAGAGCTGTCTCTTCCCCTGGCATGTACTCGCAGGGTGTGCCTGAGCCAGGCCTATCCTGGAATGGAGTTCTACCGCGACTGACGTCCAGGCTCCGCCTGGGCTTATCCCTCTCAGTGGTGGCCCAGCTCTGTGGGTCTGACGTTCAGAGGATTGCGGGGCAGGAAGGGGTTTGGGCCAGCCCCGGACTCGCCACTGATCTCTTTGGAGTCCTTCCTGGTCCTTTTCTGGCCACACCCTCTGTGTCGAGGCTGGATCAGGATAGGGGGTGGGGCGCCTGGAACTCAGCAATTGACAGGTCCCTCCAAAGTTTGTGCTTTCAGGATATTCCTTCTCGATCACGAGCAATCCCTGAGTAGTTGATCTGCCAGTCACAGAGATCGGGTCTGTTGCTCGGTGGTGGGCGAGCTGGAGGACTTTCCTGCCCTGCCTTCAAGATGGTGGTGGGGTGCCTCTCTTGTCCCCTTCTGTGGAACTTTTCCTCTGGACTCCCTCCGCAGCCCCTGCTGCCAGTGCTCTGCCAGGTGCTGCCAGTGCTATGCCAGGCACAAAGCCTGGAGCTGGCAGTCTCTTTTGTCAATGGTGAGGGAGAGCCCGGGGAGATAGTTTCTCCCTGTCACTTTTCACAAGAAAACTTCTGTCCGTTTAAAAAAAGGCACTTGGATTTTGCGACCACAGAAGAGCCAGGGACCAAGCAGAGAAGCTGCAGCACCAGCTATTGTACTAGGGTCTTGGTCACTTGCTCATGAGCCTCCACTTAGATAGTCTCTCCCAGCATTTTCTTCCCAGAGAGGGTTTTGTTGATTAAAAAAAAAAAAGAAAATGGGGCTCAGTTTCTGTGTCCTGAGAATCACTAGGGTCTAAGTCCAGCAGCTGTGGCACCACCTGCTGCACCTGGAGAACCCTGGCTGCTAGCTCCCTAGCCCTTGCTCGGTCAGCCACTCGCACACCCACTGCTCACCAGCAGGCACACAAAATTTCCATACACTCACTCACATGGGGACTCACACAGTCCAACTGGCTCAGCCGCCATCTTCTACCTGCCTCCTCCTTTTTTGTTTTTAAAGAAAAGAACTAATTCCTAGCTCCATGACCTGTGAAGCCACCTCGGCCTTTTAGTGCCTGTTTGCTAATGCCACACAGATGACAGCTGCAACTCATGGCGTACCTTGTCCTCTACAGAGATAACAGAGCTTATCACAAAATGAAATAAACCCAACAAACAACAGGCCAAACAAAAAAGATCCAACGGTTAATCAAATTCCATCTAATCTAAGCCTCGGACATCCAAATACACTTCTGTTAGGATGTGGGACAAGCCAAGTGGTGTGCAAAACACAAAATGCAATCCCTAAAAGCTGGGGGGGTCCCTGGGAACCAAAACATCCAAAAGCCAAAAAGAAGCCTAAGACCCACGATTCAGATCAAGAGAATATGTAGATCCCAGGACAGGAGGGGCTCCCTACCTCGATTACTGCCATTTCCTCACTGCCACTGAAAACGGAGGGTGCTCCTGACATGTCCCCTGAGTCCCACTGTAAGTGTCTTCAGGGCAGGGCTTTAAACTAGCGTCTGATGGACCCCAGGAACTCCTTGGAGGCCCAGTGAGGGCAGGGGCTGGGCCAGGAGACCATGTTCTACTGAGCCTCATTCATCACCACAACCAGACCAGCTCTGCTTTTACCTTATTTACTCAGGGGGCCTTGGTAAAAATTCAGGGACACAGGGTTCTACAGGACTCTAGAAGCTTGAGAAACATCAGTCCAATGGATAAACAAAACAGGAAGCTGGCCAAATTTCTCCAGCAACACATAAAGTTTCAGATTCTGGCCACTAGCAGAAAAAGGTGATTTGGGGGGCTAGCATAGCTCAAGAAAAAAACACCCCTTACTACTCCCACTTGCTACACTCAACAACAGATCAACAACAACAGATCGTTTCTGGTCTCTGGTGTCCTCAGTGGGTCATGCCGTGAGCTTTGCCAACTCCATCTAGAACTCAGTTTCACGAACAACCATGACAGCGCACCACTGCACTCTGGCTTACACAACCTCCACTGCACTGAAGCTGTGGTCACAAAGTCTTTACTGGTCGTTCACTGATATTTATCGGTCCTTTGTCTTCTCAGACTTTTGAGTAAGACTTCATTCCGACCACGTCGATTGAGGGCCTCCTGCGTGCCAGGCACTGTTCTAGGTGCTGGAGTTACAAGGGCACAAAACCGCAATGCCGCCACCTTCAGACATCCACTCTTTCCTTAAAACACATCCTTCCCTTTGGTATCCAGACTTCCGTCCACTGAAATGTCTCACCACTCCTTACTTTGGCCTCCCAGATCTGTTTCTTACTCTGCAGGTCCCTTCCATGGAGGAATTCCTCCCCCTCCTGAGGCCCTGCTCTTCCACTCAGCCCACACATTCTCCCCGCTCACTTTATAGATCAGTACAGGTATAAAGTGAGACGAGGAAAATAGCTTAAGAAGAAGAAGAACACTCTTAGGAAACACTGTCATCACGCAGCATTCTAACTTTCCAGCTTTTGTCTGATGTGTGAGCGTCTCCCTGACTGGACCCCTCAGGTGTGGCATGATAAAGCTAAGATTTAAAGTGAGACGAGGAAAACAGCTTAAGAAGAAGAAGAACACTCTTAGGAAACATTGTCATCACGCAGCATTCTAACTTTCCAGCTTTTGTCTGATGTGTGAGCGTCTCCCTGACTGGACCCCTCAGGTGTGGCATGATAAAGCTAAGATTTAAAGTGAGACGAGGAAAACAGCTTAAGAAGAAGAAGAACACTCTTAGGAAACATTGTCATCACGCAGCATTCTAACTTTCCAGCTTTTGTCTGATGTGTGAGCGTCTCCCTGACTGGACCCCTCAGGTGTGGCATGATAAAGCTAAGATTTCAAACCCACAAAGGGAAGAAGTGAATCAAGCAGCAGGGAAAGAAGGGAAGACAACCACAAGCCGAGTCTGAATTCGCCTGGCTCCTTCCCCAACTACACGACCAGACTGACTTAATCCAAGAGAGGCCTTTTCCCACTTTTGGGCAAGTGATGTGACATAGGAGGAGACTTGCCCGTCTCTCACACAATCTGCCCAGCAAGACGCATCTCCAAATTTAGTCAGCGGTTGTCGGAGCTTCTGGTCAATTGCAGATTTAACCTCCCAACACACATTGTCTTTTTGTCCACACAAATCTACTTCCGATTCTTGCCTAGGATGATATCATGACACGGGGAGGACAGCCCTTCACTGAAATGGACAAGCTCTGTGTAACCCTAAGGGAGGGATTTAGGAACAAGGGAATGGACTTGGCTCTTCTTCAGAAGGTGCACAAAAGCAGCACTGCACTTACCAATAGGCAAAACGTGGCAAAGGGTATGCAAGGAAGGGCCTGTGAGCCAAGCAAAGATGTACTGACCAGGTCAAAGAGGAGGCACTAGTTTGGCCTAGAAAGAAAAACGCACAGCTCGTCAAATTATTTGCTCCTCACGAATTTTCCTGTAAAAAAAAAAAGTAAGCTCATAAAAAAGAAAACATATATGCACTGTAGTAAATATAAATTAGCACACAAAAAAACACTTATATCATCCACCATGACCAAGTAGGCTTCATCCCCAGGATGCAGGGCTGGATCAACATTCACAAGACCATAAATGTCATTAAATACATCAACAGATGTAAAAACAAGAACCAACCACATGATGATATCACTAGATGCAGAAAAAGCTTTTGATAAAATCCAGCATCCCATCTTGATAAAAACCTTCAAAAACCTAGGTACAGAAGGAACATACATCAAAATAGTAAGTGCCAGCTACGATAAACCCCCAGCTAACATATTGCTAAATGGACAGAAACTGGAAACATTCTCTTGAAAACTGGAACAAGACAACATTGCCTACTCTCACCCCTTTTGTTCAATATTGTGCTGGAAGTTCTAGCTCGGGCAATTAGACAAGAGAAGGAAATCAGGGGAATCCAAATAGCAAAAGAGGAAGTCAAGTTACCCCTCTTTGCTGATGATATGATCCTATACCTTGAAAATACAAGAGAATCTCTCAAAAACCTGCTTGCACTGATAAAGGACTTTGGCAAAGTCTCAGGGTACAAAATAAATATGCAAAAGAAAGTTGCATTCCTATACACCAACAATAAGCAGGCAGAGACCCAAATTAAAAGCACAATCCCATTCACAATAGCCTCAAAAAAATGAAATACCTGAACATCTTCCTAACCAGAGAAGTGAACGACCTTTATAAAATGCAGCTCAAAGAAATCCAAGAAGACACAAACAAATGGAAAAATATTCCATGCTCATAGATAGGAAGAATTAACATTGTTAAAAATGTCCATCCTATCAAAGGCAATCTACAGATTCAACACAATACCCAGTAAGTTACCAATATCATTCTTCTCAAATCTGGAAATGACAATACAGAAATTCATATGGAAACATAAACAACCACAAATAGCCAAAACAATCCTTAACAAAAGACACAAAGCAGGAGGTATCACACTTCCAGACTTCAAACTTTACTATAATGCTACAGTAATCAAAACAGCCTGGCATTGGTACAAGAACAGGCACATAGACCAATGGAACAGGATAGAGATTCCGGAAGCAAAGCCTCAATTCCTCAACCAACTCATCTTTGACAAAGCCTCCAACAACAACCACTGGGAAGAGGAGAACCTACTCAATAAATGGTGCTGGGAAAACTGGCTGACCACATGCAGAAGATTGAAACAGGACTCCTACCCATCTGCATATATAAAAATTAACTCTAAAAGCATCAAAGACCTAAATGTAAAATCTCAAAATACAAGAATCGTAGAAAATGCAGGAAACACCCTTATGGAAATTGGAACTGGCAACCAATTCCTATTCAGAACCCTAAAGGCCAAAACCTTAAGAAATAAGATAGACAAAGTGGGACCTCATCAAACTAACAAGCTTCTGCAAAGCAAAAGAAACCATCAAGAGAGCAGGGAGACAGCCCACAGACTGGGAAAATATATTTGCCAACTATATATCTGACAAAGGCCTAACATCTAGGATCTACAAGGAACTCAAATGCGCTGAAAGGAAAAAAACAAACAGCTCCTTTAAAAAGTAGGCAAAAGACATGAATAGACACTTCTCAGAAGATATACGGGCAGCCAACAGACACACGAAAAAGTGCTCAGCCTCACTCATCATCAGAGAAATGCAAATCAAAACCACACTGAGATACTACCTAGCCCCAGTAAGAATGGCCATCATTAATAAAACAAACAACAGATGTTGGCGAGGATGTAGAGAAAAAGGAACGCTTCTACACTGCTGGTGAGAATGATAACTAGTGCAACCTCTTTGGAAGACGTGTGCCGATTTCTGAAAGAACTAGAAATTGGCCTTCCACATGACCCAGCAACTCCCCTGTTGGGAATATACCCGGAGGAACTCAAATCATTCTACAAAAAAGATACCTGCACATGTATGTTTGTTACAGCTCTGTTCACAATAGCAAAAACATGGAACCAACCATGTTGCCCATCGAAGCTGGACTGGATAAAGAAAATGTGGTACATACACGCGATGGAATACCATGCAGCTATAAAGAAGGACAAATATATGGACTTCACAGCAACTTGGATGGATTTGGAGTTGATCATACTCAGTGATCTATCACAGAAACAAAGAACAGAGTACCATATGTTCTCACTCATAAGCAGACCTCGAACAATTATAATACTATAAGAAAGCATTTGGCAGTAGTGGGAAACTAACAGGGGAGAGGGGGTGGGATTGGCAGTTGAGGGAAACTGCTAGTGGAGGAAGGGGCATACCTCATCAACAAGGGTACCTGCTCACATCTCTATAATAAAACAAAAACAAAAACACACTCATATCCCATTATTGCTGCGTCCTGCATGGCTGGGTGGTAAAGGATCCTGAAAGAGGAACGGCACGGTATAACACAATTCACGAAACAGTTTTAGAACTAGAAAGTAGGTGAACCAGGGGGCACTTTGCCTCACAGGACAAAGGCCCGGAGTTTCTTACCCATCAGACTTTTATTAGTACAGAATGACGTAGTTAAGTAAGCCTTCAAAGACAAAGAATAGAGGGGCCAAAAAAACTCCCAGTTTTGATCTTAGAAAGCTTTTGTGATAAAGCGTGACTGTTTACAAAATATAGTGCAGCTGCTTGAAAGACAATATATAACATTGTATCCATTCTAACACAACAGACACTGCATTTTAGAACTTACCTCCGCATACATGCCTATCTGGCTTTGCCATTACAGGCATTCTTGGCTGGTTGTGACCTTGCACATATGCCAAGTATGTTTTCAGCAGAGTTCAAGCAGGGCAGTGGTCTGCAACACGTTATGAAAGGCAAAGTTAATGAATTTGATACACAGCTTTCTCCTCCCCTCACACGTACACATCATTTTTGCTTTTATAAAAATAAGATTGCACAATCCATCCTACTCTGTAGTGTCTTTTCCATTTAACACAACATCACAACCATCATTCCATGTCGTTAACTATTCTCTGACATATTTAATGACTACACATGCATTGCATGTAATAATTATTTTACCAACTCCCGGTTTTGAAATATTTAGGCTATCAAAAATCTTTCTCTTTTATAAAATAATGCTTTAATGGACATTTCTGTAGTAAATATGTACACCTATCCATGATTATATATTTAGAATAATTCCTACAGATGTAGAACTATGTAAAAGCATATATTTAAATTTTATGGCTTTATTGACTACTCCTGAACTGCTTTCCAAAATGGTATATCTGTTTACATACAGCGTTAGTAAGAATGCCCCATCCACCAAAAATGAATTTAGTCATAAAAAATAAACACATTTTCCCAATCTGCTAGGTAAAAACCTAATAATTAAAACATGAGGTTTCACTATTTACTATTTCTTTGAAATATATTTTATTGTTTGTGTTTGCGTTTTGTTTGTGGTATTTTATCATCTTAAAGTTTAATCATTTTATTTTATCAAAACCACTCATTTATTTTATTTTATGGTTTGGTTTCATATTTAGAAAACCCTCTAAAGTGACATAAATTTCTACATATTTTGTCTAACGTTTTCCTTGTGACAGACTTTTGTACGTGATGTAAGGTAAAAATGGAATTATATATTGCCCAAGATGTAAGTCAGCTGCTTCAATACCATTTGTTGAATCATTTACTGGATCAATTCTTTCACCATATACTAAAATGTCACCCTTATCACACCCTATATTTTTAAAAACAGTAAGATTGATTCTGGGCTTTTTCTTCTTTTCACGTATTTAAAAAGTTTTGTACCAATACAACCTGGCTTTAATAATTATTGCTTGTCATACATGTTAATATTTCTTCATACATTTTCCAAGTCCCTTTTGCCTCAGAAAATCTGTAATAACCAAGAACTGGATAAAGGTCATTCAGTGAGAGCCTCATCATCCTGACACATTTTATCAAAAAGACGTGAAAATGTCAGTTAGGGGATATAACAAAGTCCTTAAACAGATTTCTTAAAAGTCCAGAAGGATTTGTAAGGATCATTACAGGGCATAAAACACAGGCTGTACCAAGAACAAGATGAATTTTTATGATGACAAACAAAATTGATATGAGTAAAATAACTAGATGGACTATGTTTCCTCTTCAGCTGTTCTAAAGCATTTAGTGTTCCATTAAGAGGCTGAAAGAAAAGTTTACGTGCCCTTGTTCATAGAGAAAGGTATGTTGAAGACTGTGTCCTTCCTGGCTCAGACTTAACAGCTCAGCACTATGGTCATTCCTCGGAAAATATCCTCAGCAAAACCTTGTCTCCCAGCCCGGTCTCCACTACCTTTGCCCAGCAAAGCCCCTACTCTGGCTAACCCACATATCTGCCTTCTCTGGACCTGGACCCCAGAAAGTTGTGTTTTCCCCCAACTGAGCCAACTGACTTCATCTTAACTTTTGGATCAGTCATTTCAAATGGAACACGCAGCTCTGCTTGGCAATCCGACTACGCTCCCCTAGGAAACGCTCTTTCCTGTTCTCCCAGGCAATACTTTCTGTCTTCTCCGTTCTCAAATTTTCCAGACACTTTTCTGACCCACTCCATCCTGCCTTTGTGTTGATGATCTCCACACACCCCAATGAGAAGAGCTACTCCCCGAAGCTCCCACAACCAAACCTACCTGCAGCTGCATATGTCCTTGACTTCTGTTCCCTGCCAAAAGGGGGAAATGCTTGCCTCTCACAGAGGCCAAGCCCCCACTGCTCTCGGGACCCAGCTCCTCTCAACCCCTGAAGGACTCCGCTCCTCTGTGCCCCCCATCTCCTGAGTGCCATCTCTTTCTTGGGCCACGCTACTCACTTATAGAGAAGACCCTCGGCCTTCAAAATCCAGAGTGGGCCCTCCCTCGTTGACACATTCACCTCCCAGGCCCACCTCTTGTCCCTTCATCCGCCCCCCTGGACAGGGAAGCCTCTCCAAAGAGTTGCCTGCCTGTTGCCTCCAATCCGACCTGCCATTCAAATCTCGCTGTCATTTAAACCGCCCTTTGTCCCAAATGCTCTGGGGTAAGGTGACCGCGACTCTCCATGCTGTCACTCACTCAGGCTCTGGGCAGCACCCCATAGAGTTGCCAACTCCCTGTATCTGGTTTTCTTTCCAGTTTGCTGGACTTTCCCTTTTGGGTCATGGTTGTTTATTTTAAATGATTTTGCATAATTATTATATTTTTGAGTAGGAGTCTCACTCTGCCACCCAGGCTGGCGTGCTGTGACACGCTTACAGCCACCGCAGCCTCAACCAGCTGGGCTCAGGTGATCCTTCTGCCAAGGCCTCCCAAGTAACCAGAACCACAGGCGCATGACACGACACCCGACTAATTTTTTTTACCTATTGTAGAGATGAGATCTTGAAAAGTTGCCCAGGCTGGTCTCAAACCCCTGGACTCCGGCAATCCTCTTGCCTCCGCCTCCCAAAAGCTGGGATTACAGGTGTGAGCCACCGCACTCAATTATTTTGCTTAATTATTACATACACTTCTCACCACTGCTAATCAAGAAGCAGCACAAAAGCAGAAACTTTATTCATGCTATTCACTATTGTGACATAATTTATAAACATTAAAATTCACGCAGTTTAATGTATAGTTCAATGAATTTTCATAAATTTAACAAGTTGTACAGTTGTCACCATAATCAGTTTTAAAATATTTTTCCTTACTCAAGTAAAGTCCTTCACACCCATATATGGTTATTCTAGTCTTACCCCCAGCCTCAGGCAACCACAAACTTATTTACATTTGCCTTTTATAGATATTTCATACGAAAGGAGCCACACAACATGTGGTCTTCTTTGTCTGGCTTCTTTCTGTTACCATAATGTTTCTGAGGTTCACACGTGTAACACGTGTCGGTATTTCATTCCTTTTTTATTGTTTTATGGCGTTCTATTGTATGAGCAGGTCACATTTTATTTCTCTGTTCACCGGTTGATGGACGTGTGGGATGTTTCCAATTTCCAGCTATTATGGTGATGCTGCTATGAACATCCACGAGCAAGTCCTTACGGGGACACATTTTCGTTTCTCTTGAGTAAACAGCTAGGAGTAAAATTGCTAGGCCATGTGGTAAATTTATGTTTGACTTTTTAAGAGGATGCCACACTGTTTTCAAAGTGGATATACAATTTACACTCCCAAAAGCCAACATTCTTTACTTCTGTCTGTGAAGTGGTATTGCACTCTGATTTGCATTTTCCCTAATGAACGGAGCACCTTCTCTTGTGCTTTTTAGCCATTAGTATGTCTTCTGTGGTGCTATGTTTATTCATACCATTGGTCCATTTTTTAAATTGGATTGTCTTCATTTTTGAGTGCTGAGAGATATCACTATATTCTGGATTCCAGTACTTTATCAGATATGTGATTAACAAATACTTCCCCCAGTCTGTAGTTTGTTCTTTTGGTGTCTTTTGAAATACAAGTTTTTCATTGTAATGAAGTCTAATTTACAATTTTCTCTTTTATGGATAATGTTTTCAATGTCATAGCAGAAAATCATTGCCTAACCCAAGGTCTAGAAAATGTCCTATTTGTCTTCCATACTTTTTATATTTTTAACTCTTACATTTAAGTCTCTGAATTATTTTGAGCTTATTTTTTCATGTACAGTGTGAGGTAACAGTCTATACTCATCTTTTTGCATGCAGACAGCCCAAAACCGTTTGCTGAAAAGACTATCCATTCCCAATTAAAGGGCCATAGTACCTTTGTCAAAAATTAATTGTCCATAAAGGCTTTTTCCTGGACTATCAATTCTGTCTAACTGATCTATGGGTCTACTCTTATATCAATGCCATACTATCTTAATAATTAATAGTTATAGAATAAGTTTTGAACTTCACAAACTTAATGGTCTTGGCTATTGTGGGCCTTTTGTGTTACCATATATATTTAGAATGGGTTTGTCAATTTAATCTGCTGGAATTTTGATAAAATTAACTTGAATCTATAGGTTAATCTGAGGGATATTATCATTTTAATAATACCGACTCATTCAATTAATGAACATGGTATGTCCTAACAATTATTAGATGTTCTTTGATTTCCCTCAGCAATGTCTTATAATTTTCAGTGTACAGATCCTGTACATCTCTCGTTAAATTTATACCTAAGTATTCTATTCTTTGTGATGCTATTGTGAATAAAATTATTTTCTTAACTTTATTTTAAAATTTTTCATATGCTAGTATGTAGAAACTGATGTTTCTATATTGATTTTATCACTGAGACTTTGCCGAACTTATTAGTTCTCACAGTTGTGTGTGTCAATATTTCATGAATGGACCAACATAATATTATTAATAATACAAAAAGCTTAGGAGAAAAGGTAAAGTTTTATGTCTCTGCCTTAGCCTCAAAATATCAGGAAAATAGGCAAAATATTCTCCAGGGGAAGAAGAGACAAAAAGAAAAGGGAGGATGCAGCTCTACAATTTCACAAGGAAAAATGCCTACACTGCCATGTCTAGTTTTACTTTTTCCAGCACTACACCAAACAAGAACAACTTAGTGGAGCCAGAAGGAGACAACAGTGCCTGGGCAAAAGTCAAGAGGAAAATGCCCAGCTTCTCCAGAGCCATGTCTACTAAGTGACAAGCAAGAGAGCTCACAAAGCCATTCCTACTCATGAATTCCCTGGAATCCTAGTCTCCATACCTTTTAACTGGAGCCTGAAGTCTTTTGAGTCCAGTACTTTAGGAAACCTCTGCTGAACACATTTTTTATGAATAATTTTCCTAGAGTATCTAGCTGCCTGCATGCAAATGTATCAAACTGAGAATTAAAAGAAACATATTTTGCAGCAGCTAGTTGACATGAACACCAATAGTTTTTTGCACTGAAAAATGTTTTAGTAAATTAAATTAGTAATAGTGAAACATCACTAATAATGTATAAACCCAGAATTCTGGGAATATATACTGTGCCTACTGGCTTAGAGAGAAAAGTGTAGTTTTCCTCTAGAGACAAATATGTCTCAGAAATTAGGCTATCACTTAATTATTAAATCAGTTCCTTACTATTCATGGGATATCAAGCATCATAAGTCTGCTTCACAGAATGACCAGGTTCTAGATCACTTATTCGGTCAATTTTTTACCTCTCCACTTAGCAGATAAAGTCTTAGCTTTTGACTGTTAGCTAATTCAGAAAAAAAAAAGTCCTAAACCTAGCTATGATATGATTTAATAATTTCAGAAAATTCACATAGCTTACCTGTTCCTATTTTTCCTAAGAGCAAGAAAGAGCATATGACAAATATTCAGCTGTATACAACACTAGTAATCTACTCTGAAAAAACAATTTTCAACCTTTGGAGACATTGTGATACACTATCAACATGAATTTGATTTGGCAACTATATGCAATTCCTAAAAGTGTTTTGTTTGTGTCTTAGAGTTTATACTAATATCTTTCTCATATTAAAAACATCACATCACTGGAGTGGTACTATCCCTAAGGATTACCAGACTAAGTAAGTATATGTAAGTGACAATGACAGTGGTTCTCAGACTTTGGTGACAGAGGAATCATTTACTACTGTAGATTCCCTCAAATTCTAATTTAACGTAGGCATTCAGGAAATTCTAATACTGTAAAGATGCAACTAAATCTGTTAGTGACTCATTTCAACATTTATTCCTTCATTAAAATAGACAGCACAATTTTAAAGACAAGTTCTAGGCACTTACCCAACAAACGCAAATGTTTTCCATTTGGCATCTGGATCCTTAACCACATTAACAATTCCTTTGGATACATCTACAACCTGTAAGAAATTGTAACATAAGTTTAACTAATTGTTGAAAAATAAAGAGAGAAAAAGAGATAGAGGGAGAGTTGGGAATAAAGAGAGGGAGAGAAGGAGGAAGAAAGGTGAAAGAGGGAGAAAGGAAAGCTGGCCTCACAGTCACAACCAAGACAACGTGACAAAAGAATGACATTGTCTATTTGCAGAAAACTTCCGAAAGAAAGCGCCTTCTGAAGAGCCCAAATAATCCCACATTAGAGGGCTCACTTGAGTATTCTCCCTAGCCAGGGCACATTTATTTTCAGATGGCTTAGGCCTTGTTGATTTGCCTTTGTCCACTATCTTGTCAACTCTCAACTCTGTTATTAAGCCATCGCATTAGACTGGACCACATGGAATTGCTGGCATTCCACCATTTGGATTTTCAAAACAGCAACTGTATATTGTTTAGACCCTGTGCTTCTCAATCAGGGGTGATTCTGGCACCCGGGGATATTGAACAACTGTCTGGAGACATTTTTAGTTGTCACAACTAGGGGTGGTACAAATGGCATCTCATGGCTAGGTGCCAGAAATGCTGTGAAGCATCCTATAACAATCGCCATAAAAAAGAATTATCCAACTCAAAACATCCATGGTGCCACTACTGAGGACCCCGGTTCAGCCTAACATGGCCTAATATGGCCATGCCCAAGACTGGACTCTAACTGCATCCATTCGAAGGAAGAACACAAAACTCAACAGATGAGTCATAGAGCATCATTAACCCAGAAAAGACCTAGTAAAAATGGAAATTTAGTGTATGATGAACACAGTATAACAAACCTGTGGGAAATTAAAGTACTATTTAACATACAGTGCTGGGACAACCACTCTACTGTTTAAAAACAAACTTTTAAAAGAGATAATGGCTCACTTCATACTATAAACTAAAACAAGTTCAAATAGATTAACTATAAAGATTAAAAATTCCTTTAATGCCCTTAAAAGTAGAAATTATTTACAACAGCATCAAAAAGAATACAATACAATACTTAGAAATAAAAAGGTGGCAGAAGACATGTACACTGAAAACTATAGAACACTGCTGAAAGAAGTTAAAGAAGACACAGTCAAAGGCACCCCAAGTTCATGGATTGGAAATGTCAATATTGTTAAGATGTTGCTAGGGCCTGAATACGTCATCTCCAAAATTCAGTGCTGCCAACATGATAATATTAAGAGTTGATTAGGCCATGGGAGCTCCTCCCTACAAACGCGATCAGGCCTCGGGTAAAGGAAGTATCACGCCACATGCAGCTGACTTGCTCTTCTGTTCTGCTGCCATGTGAGGACACGCAAGCCTTTGTCTCTCCTGCCTGCCTACCTTCCCCCCCGTGAGGAAGCAGCAAGAAGGCCCTGGCCAGATGCCAGCACCTCGGTCTTTACCTTCCCAGCCTCCCGAACGGGGAGACATAAATTTCTGCACTTGCAGACTGCCCAGCCCGTGATATTTTCTTGTAGCATAAGACAGACACAAAGAGATGCCAATACTACACAGAGCAATCTATAGATGTAATGCAATCCCTATCAAAACCCCAACGATGTTTCTTACAGAAATATAGAAAAACCCATCCTAAAATTCACGTGGTACTTAAACAACCAAGACAATCTTGAACAGGAGGAACAAATCTGAAGGCCTCACACTTCCTGATTTCAAAACTTTTTACAAAGCTACAATAATCAAAACAGTATACAACAATCAAAACAGTGGCATAAAGAGAGACATACAGACTAATGGATAGAGAAATAACCCTTGCATTTATGGTCAAATGATTTTCAACAAGGGCACCAAGACCATTCAGTACGGAAAGGACAGTCTTCTATTCAACAAATATGACTGAGAAGACTAGAAATGCACATGCAAAAAAAAATGAAAGGGACCCCTACCTCATACTATCTATAAAAATTAACTTGAAACAGATCCACGACCTAAGCCCAAGAGCTAGCTAAAAGTCAGCTAACACTACAAAACTCTTAGACAAAGACATAGGGAAAGAGCGTTATGACATTGGACTTGGCAATGACTTCTTAGATACTATGACAAAGATCTGGAGATTGTTGCACAACAATGTGAATATCTTAATACTACCGACCTGCATTCTTAGAAATCATTAAGATAGTGTCTTACTCTAAGCCCCCAAATCTTAACTCATTCCAGTATCAACTCTCAAGTCCAAAATCACATTCAGATCTCATCCAAATGAGACATGGACAAGACTCAAAGTATCCTAAGTTGTCCTGAGTCAAAATTCCTCTCCAGTTATGAACCTGTGAAACCAGACAAGTTATGTGCTTCCAAAATATGATGGTGGGACAGGCACAGGAATAACATTCCCTTCCAAAAGGGTGACATAAGAAAGAAAAAAGACCCCAAACCTAGCAAGGCAAATTCCAAAGATCTTAAGGTTCAAGCATAATCCTCTTTGCCTAGATGTTTTGCGTTCTAGATCCACAGAGTTGTGGTCCTACCTTCTGGACCCATTGGGGCTGCAGATCCACCTCAGTGGCTCTGCTGGGTAGGGTTGGGGGCCACACCTCAAAGGCTCCAGGGGAGCCCTCCCCCAAGGCTCCAGGCAGTCCCACCTCCAAGACTCTAGGTGGCCCCACCCCTAAGGCCTCTGGCAAAGGCCATGAGGGCTGTTTAAACTGAAACAATGGTCCCATGCTTTGAAACCAAGGAGGCTGCCCTCAAAGTCACTGAACCACTTTTAGGGTCCTTTTTCCCTTTTCTTGAAGAATGGCTCACATTCACAGCTCTGTACTCTGGTCCCGTAGGATCTAAGAAATATGACAGCCGTCCTTCACTCTGTCCTCTCTAATTCAAGCTGGTGGCATCTTTGCTGATACAGTCCCAAGTATATTTCTGGCTTCTGCTGAGATGGCTTACTAGTCCATGAGTCGTACCCAGGAACTCTGCATCAAAAGGTTGTTCATCCACACCCTCAGTGTTCTCTTCAGAACAAGCTTTCCCATGTTTGCAATGTGGCTGGGTTGAGAACGTCACAAATCTTCAGGTTCTAGCTCCTTTTGCTTAACAATTCCTTCTTCAAGTCATTTCCCTCCTTTCTCATTTTCTTATTAGCAGTCAGGAGCACCCAAGGTGCTCCTTCAACTCTGCTTAGAAAGTTCCTCAGCTAAATAAAGAACTCCATCACTTGCAAGTTCTGCCTTCCACTAAACCACAGTTCAGCCAGTTGTCTGCACGGATCACCTTTCCTCCCCTTTCCCATACCATATTCCTCATTTCCGTCTCAGACAGGATGAAAACTGCCCTTAGAGTGCATGTTTCTAACAGGCACCTCAAACTCTTCTAACCTCTACCAAAGGCACTTCCACACTTCTAGATACTTGTTACAGCCGCACCCCCACTTCTTGATACCAAAATCTGTCTTAGCCTGCTCGGGCTGACTTAACAAAATGCCATAGACTGGTGGCTCCAACATCAGAAATTTGATTTCTCAGAGCTCTAGCGGCAAGAAAGCCCAAGATCCATGTGGCAGGCAACTTGGTCCCTGGTGAGGCCTTCTTCCGGCTTGTGGGCAGCCAACTTCTTGCTGTGTCCTCACATGACCTTTCCTTAACATATGCACACACACAGAGAAAGAGCTCTCTCTCTTCCTCTTCTTATAGGCCAACAATCCTACTGAATTAGGACCCCAACTTCACGACCTCATTTAGCCATAAATACTTCTCAAAGCCCTATCTCCACATAAAGTCACATTGGGGGTTAAGGCTTTAATGTGAATTTTGGGGGGACACAATTCAGTCCATAGCTGATGGACAATTTTTCATTATTTTACTACAATATTTTTAAAAGTAGAATTACAGAATGAAAGTGGACACAGGCTAGAGGGGGAAAAACACATGGTAACAACATAACTGGATAAAGAAACATCCTACACAAGAGGACGCATTCGGTGGAATACTATTCAGCTAATGAAGAAATGAGTCATCAGGCCACATCAAGACATGAAGGAACCTAAAATGTATACCGCCACGTGAAAAATGTCATCTTAAAATGCTATATACTATACTATTCCCACTGTATGACATTCTGGAAAAGACAAGACTGTAGCAACAGTAGAAAAGTGAGTGTTTGCCAGGGGGTGAGAGTAGGAGTAGGGGGTTAGGAAAAATAGGAAGAACAAGTGGGGGGAGGAGAGGACTAGGGGGTTGTGGTTTAGAGCAGTAAACCTACTGTGTAGGATATCCTAAAATCTGGTCAAGGTCACAAAGCTAGTTAGGCCAAGATTAAACTGAAGTCTCTGATGCCCAAGTCCATGTTCTCTCTATTAATCTAAGTTGCTTCTTTTGATGTTGAGTAACTAAGATGACATTAAGTATGAAAAAAATATAACTTTAATCTGTCAATCGGAGAGCACTGTTAGCTTACTCTCAACTTCAACTTTGTTTATTAGTATCCCTCTCTTCTTCTATTAAGAAAGAATACGTACTTGCAAAATGATTGAGAATTCTACCCTCTCTTCCAAAGATGTCTAATGGTTTTATGATAGTTGCTTCTGGAAAGGCGTCTCTCACTACTTTCTCTCTAACAGCCTAAACAAACAACCAAACAAATTGGTTCTAAGCTCTGAGACACTTAGACAAAGCTTCTGTTCTTTCCACATTCAGGATACTACCTGTGTTTCAAAGGTCATATTTTCCTCCAGATAAAGGTAATCAAACTACTTATAAAACTTAGTTACACTGAATGCTTTTAAAAAAAGAATACACAAAAATGTCCTGCCCCTTATAGCTTCTGTTGGGTTTCTTCCCATTTTTGTTCTACAGAAGCTTATGCTGAAGAAGAAAGGAGAAAAAGTAGATGAGAATTTTTCCAGCCTCCATTTTTCCTTTTATTTACAGTCATTGGTTTGTGTCAACAATCTATCAACCTGCCAGAGAAAGGAGAGCATGGTGGCAAAGAGCTTAAATAACAAAAGTGGCAGCAGCACACACCTATCTAGAAAATGTCTGGGAGAGTCACCTTCTTACTGTCAGCTGCTATAATACACCTTACTTGTAATCTACTAACCTCCAGGACAAACCTTCCCATTCAATGAAGACATCAGCACCGGGTTAAGTCGCCCTTTCCACCTATACTGCCACTGGGGGTGACATCAATGTCCAGCTGTACTTGGACCTCTGATGTTCTTGAGTTTCTCAACTCCAATGACCCCTTTACTCCATTTCTGCCATTCTCCACTCAGTCACACCACAGACCATGTCCATAACTGAAAGTGCCTTTAATCTGAGATAATAAAGTCATCCTGCTCCCAGAAGATCAACACCTAGTTTCCAGGCTGTTTGGTTCCTTGTTCATCTGCTCCTGGGATACCCATTACTCAACCTTCCCAGGAACTCTAGTTCACTGATTCTGCTTTTTCCCCTGTCAACCCCTCCTAAGTTTTCCTGTCTTTCCCTTGTATTCTAGACTTAAATTCCATGGCCCATCTTTTCAATCACTGTCTCACCAATATTGCAAGTTACCTTGTGCCTTTGTCCTTTACTCCAATTATCAGGCAAAATCCTTCTCCTAGAAGAACCCCAATTGCCTCTTTTACCCATGCATGCCTACTGCCTTCAGCAGCTGAAGAAAAATAAATACATAAAATCAGAACTTGGTAACACTCTAAATTTACACCACCAGTTTTAACTGGGCCCTCAACATTTCCCAGAAGGTGTTTTCCTCTAATTTACTTTCCCATATGACAATTCAAACATTTTCATTCTGTTTAAATTTGACTTCCCTTTCTCTTCTCTTCTTTCCAGTAAATGCCTTCACTTTCCAATTCAAAGAGAAATTAAAGGCAGCAGAGAAAAACAACCCAAGGCCTCACCACTAAATTGACAAACTCAGGCGCAGTAAGCCTCGTTTCCCCCGTGGTATCAGAAAGGAGGGGCGGGGCCCGCTCTAGGGCTCCAGAGCTCTTTGCCTGTCACTTTCCCATGGACCTGCCCCTTCACTCTCTCTCGCACACCTTCAGTCTCGCTCCCTTCACCAGCGCCTTCCCACCAGCCCGCCAACAATGGAGAGCCTCTGTGCTAACAGGGAAATAAAATCCAAATCCACGTCCCCCCGCAACTTCTATCCTCTCTCCAGTCTTTCTCTTGCCAGCCAAGCTACTTGAGAACGCGCCTGCCCTTACTGTCCCCAAGGCCTTGGTTCCAACTCAGTCTTCACTCACCTCTGCTCTTGTTCACCTCCAACTCCAGCACTGAAATGATTCTTTTATGTTTTTCCCCAACTCCTCCCTGAAACGATTCTTGATAAGATCACTGATGACCTCTAATTCCCAGATCCAAGATGACTCTACAGTCCTCATCTTCCTTGACTCCTTGGTGGCACTCGTAAGAATCCCTTCTTCCTCCCTCGCTGCCTTACCTTGGCTTCAACAGCCTCCTATTCTCCTGGCTTCCCTCCTACCTCCCCACAGCCATTCCTGCTCAGTCTTTTTGTTTGATTTGGTTCTGTAGGGTCCTCCTCCTCCACTAGATCATCATCATTGGCACTTCTCTGGGACCAGTTCGAAGCTCTCTTCTCAGTCTACACTTCCTCGTGGGGGAATCGTATCCCCTCCCATTGCTTCAGCTAACAAAAATGGCAGCTACTCCCAAGTATATCTCCAATCAGACTGCTCTTCTGAGCTCCAGGATCAGAAGCCCCATTCACCACTGGGACCTGGACGACTGGCACACACCTGAAACCCAAGTACAGCCCTGGATCATCTTCCATTCTCTCAAGTAAAACCGTGTTCTTCAATCTCTGCTGCACTCTGAATTACCCAGAGAGTTAAAAATCACAGATGGCCCAAATTCCCCCTCAGGCATTCATTCTGTTTTCATTGGTCTCAGGGGCAGCCTGGGCATCAGGATTTTTAAACGCTCCCTCAGTGCTTCTGATGAGCTACTAAGGCGAAGAACCACCACCATAAAGCCTGGTCCTTGGCCAGGATTTCCCATCTTATTCAACCTACCGCCATCCAACCGGGAGGCTGGCCGTCTTGGACTCTTCTCTGTCTCTCACTACTGACACTCCCCCACTTCCAAACAATCAGGAAATTCAGATGATTTAATGAATGCTCAGGCAGAGGTAGGCACAAGTGCTTCACTCATTCATTTTCTTTCTTCAACAAAGTATGGAAAGGTGAGGCCCAGATGTACTATAATCTAGCTTGCCACTATGAGAAACAAAGCCACACAAAGAGAAAGGCACAGCAGGGAATCAGAGAAACAAAGCTGGAGCCCTAAGAAACCCTGGCACCGGTCTGTGGCCAAGATGTCCTATGCCAATTTGTTTTAGATATCTGGGCCTATAAAGTCCCTTAATGTTTAATCCAGTTTACAATGGTTTTTTTCGTTTTTCTTTTTTTGAACCAAGTCTCACTCTGTCACACAGGCTGCAGTGCAGTGGGACAATCACAGCTTGCCACAACCTTAACCTCCTGGGCTCGGGCGATCGTTCCACCTCAGCCTGTTGAGTAGCTGAGACTACAGGTGTGCGCCACCACATCGGGCTAATTTTTTTTTCTACTTCTTGTAGAGATAAGGTCTTGCTAAGTTGCCTAGGCTGGTCTTAAACTCCTGGGCCCAAGCAATCCTCCTGGCTTACACCACTGTGCTGGGTACAGTTTACGTTCAATGTTTTGAAGTAAGTAAATGCTGCTGACTAACAGGTGTTCTCTCTCTCCTCCTTTATATGCTCGATGGCAGTTTGCTACTTTACAATACTTGGTGCATCTGGAATTATTTTCCCTAGTGGATAAAATACGAGTTAGGATCATGTCTATTTTATTTAATACTGTTTCGCAGTGTCTAACACAATGGATGACACACAGTAGGTGCTTAATACTTTGTTCAATAAATGAATGCAACAGGTCAAAAAGAACTCTGTTATGCTCATCAGTATGACTCAAAACAGGCTTTTATGTGGCAGAAACTGAATGTCAAGAGTAGCCCCAGAAACTCACACCCTTTCTGAGATCCTAATAATAAAGGTTGTGAGGAAAGCAACTTAAAGTTTTTATTTTTATTTTATCATAATAATTAATGCAGAAGACTTTTGTGACTAAATGCGGGGGATTTTAAAATTATAAGCAAGGAATTTTACAGTGGGCATTTATTGGGTGTCTTTTAATTTAATTTAATTTAATGTGGGCACTATTTATTTGGTGATAGTGTCAGATGTCACAGATTGAGGGCTTAGTTTTTTCAAGTTTAGTCATAAATCTGGATGTCTGATTGGCTAGTTTTAAGCTGGGCTTTTTATGAACTCCTTTGAGGTTTGGTTAATTTGTTAGAGTGGATTATGGAATTTAGGAAATGTTTATGTTTATTGGTTTATTGTAAAGGATATTCTAAAGGTCATAAACAGACAAAGAGATATATAGGGTGAGGCTTGGAAGGATCTCAAGTCCAGGAGATTTTCCTTTTGTGGAGTTGGAGTGCGCCACCTTTTTGGCAGATATATAAGTTTTTGGTTTTTGTCAAGTTGTATGTGTTTACTTATTTGAAAGTTTTTTGAATTTCATCTTTTGGGTTCTTTTATGGAGACTTTATTGGATAGGCATGATTAAAGTATGGATAATTATGTTGAAAGGGGTTTTTTTTTCTTCTTTCTTTTTTTGTTTTTGTCTTTAGAGACAGGGTCTTGCTCTGTCACCCAGGCTGAGTGCAGCGGACAATCACAGCTCAATGCAGACTCAAACTTCTGAACTCAAGTAATCCTCCCACCTTGTGCAGTAGCACAAGCACATGGCACCATGTCTGGGTAATATTTGGAGAATTTATTGGCCAGGCATGACTGAAGTAGGGACACCCATGTCAAATGTGATTGGATCAAAAGGGTATGACTTTTTAGTATTAATAAACGGAGTGGGAAAACCCAGCAAAGCATGCCTGTTCAGATTTTTTTTCTGGCCTCTCTGGGTAGTATTTCTTCTTCTAGGGTATGGGGCAGTATCCTCATTGGAATGAGGGTTTTATGACTATCCCAATTAGATCAGAGTCCTGCCTTGGGCAGGTAAAGGATGGCAGAAGTTCAGAGAGATTCTGCTTTTTGAAGACTATTTTTGAGGCCTAAAGTGTCTTAACATTATAATAAAAAATTATAACAATAGCTATGAAAGTTATGAGTCAGGAATTCTGGATGAAGACCAACATATACTAGGTATTATAGATACATGTGTGTGTGTTTGTGTGTGTGTATAGACTGACGCCAAACTAAAGTGGTCAGTCTCTAGGTATGGGCTTTCTGGTAGTAGAAGGAGTCTAAGTACTATGTGAAAAGCCACTTTCATTGGCAAGTATTTATCTGTCATCCTCAGCCTTCACATCACCCCTTTAAGAGTACCATAAAACTGTTACTATGCAAGGAATTGGAGAAAGAAAGAAGGGCCTTTAACCATGATACATGATGCAGGTATGACTACTTTGGCAAGCATCATATGCTACATTTTATGATGGTTTCTGTGTAATCCTATTATGCCCCAAAGAAACGTTCATCACCTGAGGGTCAATGATAATACAGTCTATCCATCTTTGAAGGCCCTTAGCACAGTTCCCTGCACAGAAGGCATTCAACCAAAACATCAAAACACAACACACATACCTAGTTCTGGATGGAGGGAATTAGAAAGCCTTGTAATTCCGGAATGTCAATGAGAAACATTTTTCACTTAAATCATGTTTCAGTGGTGCCAAGAAACTCTAGCTCTGTGAACCACTTTCCAAATCAACTTGTTATTTACCTTATGTCTCAAATATCTAGAAGAACTTTTAATATCAGCATTCAGATGTGAAATATGAATGAATTTTTCTACTCCAGCTTCCTTGGACACTTGAGCAATTGCTTGGGGAATCTTCACAAAAACATCCTCAAAATCAAAGTTTCTGGAAGAAAAACAAAGGGATTGGTTAAGAACTCCAGACTCAGAATTTCAAAGCTTTCTAGGATAAGTTGGTTTTCATGATAGTGCTGGAATTTATAACATTAAAATTTTAAACAGCAATGATTTAACTTAAAGTCAAACCTGATTTTTTTTTTTAATTTACAGGTCTGCTCACTGTCACTACTCTACATAATTTAAGGCCTACTCTAAGTTATAAATCCAGCAAACATAATATTCTGTGTTTTCAAGAATCCCAAGGCTCAGGCCTTTTAAGAAATCCTGACTCTACTGGTTGGTGGGGAGGAGGGAAGTGTTGGGGGCTGGAAAGAAAATAATTTCTTACCCCCAAGAGACACTGTTTCCCTCAGGGGAAAAAAAAAGAACCAAGACTATTAGTCAGTCATTCTACCATAAAGATACCTGCACATGCATGTTTGTGCAGCTCTATTCACAATAGCAAAAACATGGAGCCAACCATACTGCCCATCGAAGCTGAACTGGATAAAAAAAAAATATGGTACATATACACAATGGGATATTATACAACCATAAAGAAGGACAAACATATGAACTTTGCAACAATTTGGATGAATTTAGAGTCTATCATACTCAGTGATCTATCACAGAAACAAAGAAGAGGGTACTGTATGTTCTCACTCATAAGCAGACTTTGAACAATTATCATAAAGCTATAAGAAAGGGATCGGCAGTAGCAGGAAACTGGCAGGGAAGGGGTGGTGGGATTGGCAGTTGAGGGAAACTGCCAGGGAAGGGAGGGGCTCACCTCATCAACAAGGGCACCTGCATAAAGAGCATTTGTATACCTAACCTCAATTGTACTCTACATCTTCAAAATAAAAATAAAATAAAATTGTCTCCTAAAAAAAGAAGAAAAAAAAAAGAAGGAAAAAAAAAGAAGAAAAAAAAAAAAAAGAAAATTAGTCACCAATTTAATTCAATATTGTTAACCAAATGCCTACTCTGTGCAACGCATTGTATTAATCGCTAAGGGGGACATAAGATTGACAAAGACCCTCTAAGTCTCCAAATAACATATACTATTTGATGAGACAGACATACATAAATAAATCTAATTCTAACCTTAATAAATGTTAATAAAAAATGTGAACAAAGTTTTGTGGAACTGTAAGACTGAAACATTATTTGTTGATAACCCATACAAAGGCTAAAAAAACTGTTTCAAATCAGTACTCATGCCACCTTCAATTAACATTGCAGGGAAGAGATCTAGAACACTGTCCCCACAAGAAAAGCTAATGTTCAACTTGCTAAACAGTAGAGCAGGTTAGGAAGCATTCCAAATGGAAAGATCTAAATAGGCCCAACCCTGGTCATTCTGTCAAGGTGGTAACATCACCCATACCAATACAACCCACATTGGTATTTGATGGGGCACTACCTCACACTGCTGGCTTGCACCAGACTTGCCACATCTCCTAAGGGCTGTCACAGGGAATATAAGTAGTTGTACAATCAATCTTTATTGACTAATTGAAAATGTCACTTAGTGTCAATACCTGTCATATATAAAATGCCCAATAAAAGTCTACTAAGCCCTGACAGATACTTATGCCAAAACATAAAATAAAATGAAATAAAATGAGAGTAAAAGACTAACTTGGTTTCCCAGTCTCGTACAACAAAATTGATGATCACATTGTTGTTGGATACTGGGTGAAAAACTCAGCAAATAGGTAGCTCTACACATAAAGAGATAAAAAAGATTTTTTTAGAAAAGATGAAAAGGTTGGGAGGGGAAGAACCCAAAATGACTCAGCATAGAAGGGACACATATATGTGCGAATGGCCCAGGAGCCCTGGAGAGAAATCAAAAGGGAACCGAGTCTCAAAAAAGTCCCCTCAGGTTGGTCTATCATGTGGTCATTCAGACAGCAGTATCAGACAAAAACTAAACCGGAGAATCAGTACTCCACACTCAAAATGGTCCACCCTTCTCAAAAACAGACACATAAATAAACACTAAATATAAGACACTGTGGTCTTGCTCTTCAAAACATACTCAGAGCTCTGTTCAAGGTCAGATACACAGTAAAAATTTCTGTAGAAAGAAGGGAATAAATGTCCTATGGCTCAATTCCAATGATTCTACATCTGCAAGCTAGTATCATTTTTGAAATACTTTAACTTTGAGGCATTGACAAGCTGGCCAATAAACTACAGTCATAATGAACTTGGAAAGGGTTAAGCTTCTGTAACATTAATACCAAGAAAATAGCTGAATATAAGATTTTGGAAAAGTAAAACATTTTAGAAACAAGATATTTACAATAGATGCATTAGCTTGTGCACATTCAGTAAGTAAAATGAAAATGCAATTAAAAGTAAGTCAAAATTAAAAGGAATTACAAATAATCATTAGGACTATAATACCAGAAATGTTAAGTATGTTTACCAAACATTTTTTAAAAGGAAAAGTGTGTTGAGAGAAGTGCTTAGTTCCATATAGGATGATAAAAGTAGAAAGTTAGCTATAAGCACAGTAAACTCAGGCATCAAGGCCCCAAGAATATAGTAATTAATAGGCTGGCTACTGGTAATTGAGAACAACTCTTTGTGAAAAGGGCCTGACCTGTGCTCTGTAGGACACTTAGCCTCCCTGGCCTCTACCTAATAAACCAGAATGGCTCGCCAGTCACTGTGTCAATCACAAGAGCCTCCCATATATTTAATCACTGGCTTAAGGGTCTTCCCACTCTCTCCCCGCTGCTTACCCCTTGACAACTACTGGCCTAAAGGAAGAGCCTGTAGGTTAAATCATGACAAAGGGAATGCTCAGAAAGGACTGTTTGTTAAATCTATGTCAAGCAGACCAAGTCATAAAAAACCACAGATGTAGACTTTTCTGTTTATAAAAATGCTGTCCAATAGAAATATAACAAGAGACACATATGTCATTCTGAATTTTCTACTAGCCACATTTAAAAGAGCAAAAAATAACTGAAATTCCCATTAGAAATACACTTTGGCTCACCCTGTAATCCCGCGCCTTTGGGAGGCTGAGCTAAGTGGATTGCCTGAGCCCGTGGGTTCGAGACCCGCCTGGGCAACTTGGCGAGACCTCATCTCTACAATAAATCAAAAAATTAGCTGGGTGTGGTAGCGCGCACCTGTAGTTCCAGCTACTTGGAAGGCTGAGGCAGAAGGATCACTGGAGCCCAGAAGGTCAAGGCTGTGGTGGCTGGGAGCGGCCACTGCACTCCAACTGGGCGACAGAGTGAGACTCCAACTCAAAAAAAAAAAAAAAAAAAAGAAATACACTTTATTTGGCCTATGCATCCAATATATTTCCATAAGTACTAGATGTAAAAACTTATTCATGATATATTATATAGTATTTTCCTCATATTAAGTCTTTGAAATCTGGTGTGTATTTCATACTTGCAGCACAGTTCAGACTAGTCACATTTCAAGTGTTCAAGAGCCACATGTGGCTAGTGGCCACCACATTGGATACCACAGGTCTAGAGCAGGGGTTGGAGTACTATAGCTCAGAGGTCAAATTTGGCCTATATTCTAATTATGTAAATCAAGTTTTATCTGAACGCAACCACATCCATTTGTTTACAAATGGTCTATGGCTGCTTTCAGGCTACAAGGGCAGAAGTGAGTAATGATGACAAAGACTCTATGATCTGCAAAGCCTAAAATATGTACTATCTGGCTCTTTACAGGAAAAATCTGTCAACTGCTAGTCTAGAGCTTGTATGCCAAAACATAAGATGTAACCGAGGAAGTCAGCCGAAAGAATACCGTGTGAATGGAGGATGCCCTTATTCCATTCTGGGACAAAACCATTGCTTTAGTATACTACCTCTACTCTTAAAAATGAACTTAGTAATTTATATTTTTCATCTCCAATAATCACTCATAAGTGTTCATACCAGAAAGATAAGTTGACCCAGGTCACCCATGGGACGAAGATGCATGATGTCATATGTGTCACAGCGATAGGGTATTATCACCTGTGACCCCATACGTCCTAAAAGAGAATGGATTAAAGCAAGGATCAACATCAACATAACATGGATTATGTTATACAACAGTGATTTGGCAAATATTTAAATTCTACTTAAGATATGTGAATTGATATTATGTTTAGTAAAAAGTATATTTTACCATAACTTTTTTTTGTCATAATTTTTCAGAGTCCCTCATTCACATCTTAATATCTTATATAGGAGGCGTGGGTGTGCTCTTAATGTCACAGCAGATAAAAGTTACATAAAAGTCGGGCTCGGTGGCTCGGCCTGTAATCCCGTGCCTTTGGGAGGCTGAGGTGAGTGGATTGCCTGAGCCCGCGGGTTCGAGACCCGCCTGGGCAACTTGGTGAGACCTCATCTCTACAATAAATCAAAAAATCAGCCAGGCGTGGTAGCGCGTGCCTGTAATTCTGGCTACTTGGAAGGCTGAGGTGGAAGGATCGCCAGAGCCCAGCAGGTGGAGGCTGAGGTAGCCAGGAGCGGCCACTGCACTCCAGTCCGGGCGACAGAGTGAGACTCCAACTCAAAAAAAAAAAAAAAAAAAAGTTACATAAATCCAAGACAGGATTAATTCATAATACTGCCAAAATGAAGAGAAACACAGCTTATGGTCTCATCAAGCAGTCCTAACCAATGGTGATGGAGCGCACCGAACTCAAGGAACTTTACTCACCAAGGTGGTTGACCACACAGTGGCCCAGGAATCCAGTTGCTTCAAACACAGTGGCCACAAATCCACTGACGGAGGAATGCCCACCTTTCCATGAGGTATGAGAGCATGATGAAGGTGGCGACAGGGTGAGCCATGAAACACACATGTGGCGATTGCAGTGATAGTAGAACCTTAAGCAAAACCCTAGAGTACACAAAATTGGCACATGTTCATCTATATCTCATGCATTAGTGAATGCAAATAGCTTCTTTCCTTAGATCTCATAACATTACTTTGCAATTAGTACTTTAGAAATGTAAATACCAACAACAACAATAAACACAAACTGTTGCGACACAGAATCCACAGGGCATGAGGAAACACATAAAAATTAGAAAGTAAATTGCCTACCCTATAAGATATAACTTAGCTGAGAAGATAGATCACATTAAACTGTTTGTCTGTAATTACACCATTACTAATTAAGAGAGTCTAAACCTGTATGGTGAAAGGACTGAGATTACAAAGTACAGGAGCAAGAAATCATATAATCATGAGACTGGAAACCTGGATAAAGTGTTTTAAGAAAGGCTTTCAAGAGGAGTAACAGAAAGAATAGAATTCCAGAAGAAACATAACACCTACGTTAATGCAGCCATAGGAATGAACAAGCCCAGCACAGGGCAAGAGCAAAAGACTTACCTGGAACAGACTCTGAAACTGATGACTAATGAACAATGACAGGTTGGCGGTATATAGGTTGTCAGTACAGAACATTAAAAAAAGAGTGCAGATCATACTTAATAGAAACACTGAAAACCATCAAAAATGACGATAAAAGGAGTGAAGCTCTTGAGAAAAGATTTTCTGACTTTTAGAAAGGTTAATAGCAAGTGATTTGCCAAAGTTCTCACCATTTCTTTTTCACAGACTCAGATTCTTGGAAATAGGAGGAACCCTCAAAGTTGGCACACCAAGGTTTACGTCTAAAACTGTCTGGCTTTGGCCTGAACACCTGCAGGGTTGGGAAACTCACTGCTTAAGGTAGCAGTCCCTTCAGCTTGGAGCCATTCAATCAAAAGAAGGTCCGACCACAGGGATAATCAGTGACCGCTTCCCAGGTTTCAACCCTATGTTCTTCTGGAATGACAAGCAACAATCTAATCCCTCATCTACATTTAAGAGTAGCCATTATATCTCCACTAGGTATTCCCTTAGCGGTTAAACATACCCAGCCTTGACAACTATTCTTCATATGGTAAAATGTAAATCTCCTTAGAAACACTCCAGTGTTCAAGTCCAGTCTAATTTCTTTAGTACAGAGTTTTAGAACAAGTTGCTCAATTTTCATGTAATTAGAAACAACTAAAAGGTATAAATAAAGTGATGAAGAGCTTCTGTTCAATCAACAAACTTTGGGACTTGGCATTGGTGCTTTGTACACTTGGGAAACCCTGAAAAGAGACATAAAAATTTCTTCAAAAAAATTCTGTGTTTGTTTTCTGGGGACGACTTCTTTCCTATTCAAAACTATGGAATTGAAGAAATAGCCTACCTCACCGAATAGTGACTGAAACCACAGGAATTAAAAACAAACATCACAAAGAAAATGACAAGAAGCAAACATCACAGGCCAGACACATAATAATAACAAAAGAATAACATCATATTAACAGCCAAATTAGTGCCCAGAATTGTTCTAACTGCTTAATGGGCTTAATTTTAATTGATACAATTTTTACGCCAGCTTCACAGATGAGAAGCTCAGAGAGGTTAGTGACTACTCCAAAGAGCCAGTAAAGGAGACTGAAAAGCAGCCCGGCGAAATAGAAGGAAATAAAACAAAGAAAACAGTATCCAGAAACCAAATAAAGTGTTCTGAGAGAATAGCTAACTCTATCAAATGCTGCTGGAAAGAGAAGCAGGAAGGAGTCAGAGGACCACAGAATCTGGGGGCTGCTGCTTGTAGGTGACCTTACCAGGAGACTACCAGGATGAAAGCTAGAATGAAGTAGGCCAATGAGACTGAGGCAAGAAAGCAGTGAGAGAAGGACAGATAATCCCAAGGAGATAAGATGGAAGGGGCAAAGAGAAGTGGGACTAGAGGGACAAGAAGACAGGGAAGGGTTTATTCTTATTTTTAAAAATATGACAGAACATATTTATAGGCTAATGGAAACGACAGGATTTAGATGGTAGAGGAAGAAAATTACCAATTCAGGAGAGGGAATGAGTAGGTATGAGAGAATGGGATCAAATGCAAAGTGAAGGAAGCAGCCAAAGATCAGGGCAGAAGAGGCTCCTTCACTGTAAAACAAGAGGAAAAGCAGAGCATCATCACGGGTCAGTTACTAGCTCTTTGGCGGGAAAAAGACTGTCTCATCTGATTCCTATATTTCTCTGTAAAACTGAGAATAAGACAAAAGCACACGTTAGAAAATTTCGGAAACCATCAATGTTAAATAATGATTATGAAGAAAGAGTAAGCAAATTTCCTAGAAAAAAATGTAGCATTGAAAATCTGCTTGAGCTTGGTATTCATTGATTTAAAATAAGGCCAGTTAGTTTGGTGTTTCCCCTAGCCCCATTCTCCATTGTTTAGGGGCAGTCAGGAAATATGTGGAAAGCTTATTTAATTGGGGTCAATTTTTTTATGAGTTGAGAACATATGAAAGGGAATGATTAGAGTGATGAGTAAGGAAGTGAGGACACGATAAAAGACAGAGAAAAGACAGCAGAGCCAATGAAATGGGAAGGATTATTGGAGGTGAGGAATTAATAACTCAAAGGACTGGTATGAGGAGTCAAGTACATGTGCATAAAACATTTAGCATATTAGGTAGCACACATTAAACACTCTATAAAAAATAGGTGCTTCACTTATTACTGCTTTGAAATTCCTCAAAAGGTAATGTTACACTGGCCTCACAAGATTACCTGTTGGATCAACATTTCGGCCAAGCACTATTCTAGAAACCATATCACAGTAAAAAAGACAAAATTCCTAGCCTCATGGAGCTCAGAGAGCTCCTTAGAAAACAACTAGAAAGGCGATATGAGAACTAATAACACAGGGGAAAGCATCTGTCACGGTGTTTTGCAAGTAATGGTGCTCAATAAATAGGAATTACTACCCCTTTGGCCACAGTCTCTCCATTTCTTCCATTTATTATAACACCATTAGGAGAATAACATTATTTATTCATTATGCAGTCATTATATTCCTCTGCTCGGAAACCTACACAGTTTCCTACTGCAATGTCCAAACCAATAGTCCAGTCATATTTGCTTGCCCACTGCATTCATTTTTATAAGTATCTATTTAAAAATTATATAAATGTTCTATGTAGTACAAATATGGTATATACATTTCAAAGCATATATGAAAGCACCTAGCATCCTTCTGGCATACAGTTTGAAATACATTAAGTGTTAGCTACTGTTATTATTGTTAACTTTTTTAGAGTTCTAATATTATATTAGAACTTGTTTCATATCCTATTGGGTCCTCTTGCACAACTCCCTTTGGAGACCAGTGGTCTCAACTCTGCTAGGCTTTCAAAGGCTTCCATTATCTGATCCTAACTAATATACTCAACTTTCTTCAGTCCTACTTTCCCACTATTCCAGATATAGTCATTCATTGCCTCCCAAACTCCTCCTATCTCCATTCTCACCTCTTTGCCATTGCCATTAGCAAACGCCCAGCCTCTCTGACATTCCAGATCCTAACAACCTAAAAAGATCAGTGCAAGCACTGCAACTCTCCACTGGACTTCCAATCCTCCCTAAGTTAAATGATACTAATCTTTTCCTTTTCTGATATACTATGACACTTAATCGTCTTGCCACACTTAATTGTATACAATTGTTTTACACAGTTTTGTCCCACAGTATTTGAATTATGTTACACACTAGTCTTGTCTCTCCAGAGTTTACTCAAAAGCGTACTTTAACAGACAATAAAGTTGAGTGGTTATACATAGCACAAGCTATGATGTCAGTGGAAGAAACAAACTGATAATCTACAGCTATGGCTAGCAGATATTCAACTATGGTTAGTACTTACTATCATTCAAAATCTACCTTATGCCACACCAGTGTAATCATTTAACAAAAACGATCAAGTGCCTTTTGAGAAGTCATGTGCCAGAGGCCAGCTCCGGGGGGTTCACGGGGACCCGAGAAGGAGGCATGATGAGGCGAGGGAAGGAAGAGTCGTGACCAGATTTTCTTTTCAGGCACTCTGGCACTGAAGCACACCAGTGCTGATTTATTTATAACATAATTTTTGGCACACACTTAGCAGAAAGTTAACAGTAAAGGAAAAAATTAACAATCAAAACATATCGAAACGATTGTATGATGTACTAATGATTTTACAATTCTGATAATTATATGGTTTAATAATGTCTACATATAAGAAACTAGCTGTTCTTGGAAGTGGTAACTTATTAAAAGGGCAAGGTTAATAGTCAAAAGGTTAGCAAGTGGAAAGTAAAACTTATACTTTATAAAGGTAAATAGTCTATATAGATATAAAGGTGTTAGGCATATAACCTTTACATAGTTTTAATTTAAAGGTCGCTATCTGTGAAGAGGCAGTGTCTATATTTATTTATATATACCAATCATTTTACTTTTTACTAAGTGCTGACCTTTTTGGGTTTTAGAAAGCAGGCACCAAGGGGGCCCACTGCGTTTTATTTTTTCCGATAAAGATATTCTTTTATTTAACATGTTTTTCATCTGTCCAGACTTTTCTAACCATATTATCATCATATGCACCAGTATAAGGTAGTGGAGGGTCAAGCCATTCTAAGTTTTGTATACTACACTTTCCTCTAAATGCCCACCAAATTCTACCATTCATATTATAGCGTATATGGGGGCCAGCTCTAACAGTTGGCAAGGGTTTGTAATATTGTTTCAAAGCTTTAAACTTGTGGCTACTCTGGTGTTGTCTGTATGGCTTAACTGTGTGTGCTTTAGTTTGTTCCTCAGTTTCTGTCATTTCTCGATACCATAGTTTTAACATAAAGTAGAACCGTTAAAAGTACACTTTGTCACAGTAGGTTTTGGAGTAATTGGTTGGGTCATTGTGACCGGTTGGGTTGCTACTTGCTTTTCCTAAGGCATGGCCAATGGTGAAGCATTAACTGCTTTATTATTGAACAACATAATGGGAACAAATAGGTGACCATGAGTCACAGGACATTCATGTAGAACTTTCCTCAAGACTTTCCGTGGGGCTTTGCCACACACATGGATCCCTTCTGGGGCTTTGCCTTCCAGAAGGGTGTCTTCATTCGGTTCCCATGCTGAGTCCTGGATTGTCATGGCCTTGCCAGTCATGGCTACAAAACCATCCACTAAAAATGATGTGTCACGACCTTGATGTGCCATGACCTTCCCAGTGGTATGTAGTTTTGCCCAAGATACACAACAAAAAATTATCTTCAACTTCAAGCTGAACATCAAAACTACTTATGGTGCTTTAAAAAAACTTAAGGTTCAAAGGAAAAAAACCTCAAATATTCTGAACAAATAGCTCTACAATGCGTTGCTACTGCTTTTTTAAAAATAAAGCTCTATGAGTAATTCTGACATAAGCGAATTTGGGGCGCAAATTATATTCTGTAGTGACTAAAATACACTATGGAAAAATACAACTTTGGGGGGCTGATTGAGGCGCGTTTCAGAACGAGTAGAGGAGGAAAAAATGGTTGAGATGTAACCGAATTCCTAATTTCCTAGCTTGTCTAGCCTCTTTGTGAGCAGAAAAGCAAATCTATGCTTTCAATTTGAGTACTGAGAGCAAATCCAAACAGAATAAAAGGGAAAATGAACAATGCTGACAAATTCTAAGATACCCTTCCCCTGTCACTCTCCTTTCCACCAAGCTCCCGATTCTTCTACCCACGAACGCCCCGTCCCTTCCCCTGGCCCCAGAGTCGCGATCTAACCTCACTCTCCGTATGTTGAGACCTTTTTGGTTAAAAAGGCGCTTTCATAAATACCACTTCACTTAATTTCAGAGACTCCCTGAGGTTGTGATATTATCACCTCCACTGCGCCACGAAGAACGTGAACCGAGACCGATCCAAGGGTTTGCACCAGGTCATAAAGTCAGTCCGTGAAAAACCTCCTCTCCTCTACCCTTTTCCCCTCTCCCGTCCCCCAGCCCCGCGCCCCGTGCAAATATTTCTCATCAGCCGCCCCCCCAGCCCTTCCGAGCAGATCAGAACTCGGACTCTCCCGAGGCTGCCCGAGTCCCGTTACATTCTCCTCCGGGCTTCCCGCTGCTCGAGACCCTGTTGTCCCCTTCAAAGGGCACAACGTAATATGCGAGCCGGGGAAGAGGAAAGGAAAAGGAGAAGGGGGGCACACCTCATCAACAAGGGCGCCCGCGCAACGGACATCTGCATGCCAAACCCTGAACGGTACCTCACACCTTCGCAACTAAAAACGAAAAATAAGGGGCAGCTCCGGACACAGGCGACGCCGGACCTGAGGCGCTCGGAGGCCCAGGAAGTCGGTGTGAGCGCTGAGCTCGGCGCTGCTCCCGAGCCTTCGATCCCCGTCTCGGAATCACGGCCAGGGACCGCGGCTCCCCGTGACACTTACGCGACATTGGCAGAGCCCGGACGACCCGCGGGCGAACGGCGGCCGCCATCTTCTCCCACAGGCCCCCGCGGCCGGCTACTCCGGCCGACTACGGGTACTGGGCGGGGTCAAACCCCGCGTCCCACGCCCGTCTGCGCAGGCGCCGACCGAAAGAGCGGGCGCGTCCGAGGTCGCAGGCGTGCTGGAGGGGAGGGCCGCGGAGAGAGGAGAGGTGGGGACGGAGGGGGCGGGGGGGGCAGGAGCGCGGGGGAAGGAAAGGAAGACAGCTCGGGGGCCGGAACCGCAGGCCGCTCCGATCGCCTCCTGCGTCCAGGCGCCCGCGTTCCGAGTTCGCCACTGACCGACCCGGCCCCACCCAGTGGCAGAACCCGCGGACCAGGAGGAGCCCGGCTTTCCGGACGCGGCTCGCTGCCCCACGAAGGAGTCGGAGACGCCGCCCCGGCTGGGGGCGGAGGGCGCGTGGCCCCTGCACTCGGGAAGTCTGCGGCCCCGGGGAGACAGGGAGGGAGGCGGCGGCGGCACAAGAGGGCCAAGTGCGGCCGAGAAGAGCAATGCGGGTGTGTCCCGACTGGATAAATGCACGTCGAACCCGCCAGCACGTTCTCGGGCCTTTGCACTTGCTGCTGGCTCTTCCCCGAAGCGCGCTCACATACCTGCGCCGGCTCAATCTGCTCCTAGGTGACCTCTGCTCAGAAGATTTCCCTGACCCTCCTGTCCAAGGTGGTCTTTGTTTTGAGTTTTTACTTACCGAAACACTTGTCACCAGGAGTTCTTTTTTTGAGCTGGAGTCTCGCTCTGTCGCCCAGACTGGAGTGCAGGGGCCGCTCCCGGCCACCGCAGCCTCGACCTGCTGGGCTCCGGCGATCCTTCCCGCCTCAGCCTTCCGAGTAGACGGAATTACAGGCGCGCACTACCACGCCCGGCTAAGTTTTCGATTTTATTGTGGAGATGAGGTTTCGCCTGCCCAGGCGGGTCTCGAACCCGCGGGCTCAGGCAATCCACTCACCTCAGCCTCCCAAAGGCGCGGGATGACAGGCTGAGCCACCGAGCCCGGCTTCACCAGGAGTTCTTAACCAGCCGTGCAATTCCTGAGCGGGATTCAGGAAATCGGTGACCCTCCTGAAATGTTAACGTAGAATTTAGTGGCCACGTATGCCATCTGAACATTTTTTCTAAGGAGAAACCACAAATGGCTCTAAAGCAATGGTCTGGACATTTTTGTTTTTTTTAAACTGTGGACCCCTTTGAGAATCTGCCTTGTGCTACCTAAGATCCATCTGGAGCCTGTGGAAATTCCAGAAGGATTAGGCTAAGGACTTGAATCTTAAAATGGCTTATTCTGTTCAAACTCTGAGTAGGAGACAGCAACCAGTGATCCTGTGAAGCAGACCTCGGGTTTATCAATAAACCCTCTAGTTTGGA